AAATTAATTACATAAGAATTTTCTATCTGCCTTGTACGGGGTTTGGTCATTAATTATACTGATTGAGAGCCAATCAGTTTTTCCTTTTGGGTTAACTATACATGAATGCAAATTTAATTAGACGAGGGCAATTGGGAACAAAGTGGAATGATATGATCCCATTAAACCTCTCTACAAGATACAATGGCTTGAACAGAAGCAACCTCACTCACAAGTTGGAAGCCGAAATTTGGTGAAGTCCCTTTGCCATTTCCATGAAAAAACAAACCAAACCAAACCAATTAACCAAACCAAACCAAAAGCCAAATATAGAAAGCATTCACAATACCAAAAACCAAATACATAAAGCATTCACCAAACCAAAAACCAAATATAGAAAGCATTCACCAAACCAAACCAAAAACGGTTGTCCATCATCTTTAGAAAAAAAAAACATAACAGTTGTCCATCATCTTGAAAACAAAAACGCAAAATCAGGTTGTCCTTGGGCTCTTTGACTGGGTTTCCTTGTGCTCTTCTCTTTCCATTTTCCTCCTTTCATGGGCTTTTTTGTACTCTTCCACTGCAGCTTCAACTTGAGGTGCAACTGTTCTTGCTTCCGTGAGCACCATATGCCTTATGTAGTTCATGGGCTCTCGAACAAGGTACAAAGTGATCTGCATCCTTCTCCACCATCCCACCTCATTGATGCCGAGCTTAGCCTTGTTGAGTTCCCTTGACTTCTAGTTCAATACTTCTAATCTGGGGGAAATTCGATGGTCGTGAAACGTCACCTCAATGAGTAAAAAAACTAACCTAGTATCGAAATTAACATAAGCAAGGTATTGACTAATCACGGTTAACGTTATACCCTTATTGTTCTTGCTATACTAGTACCTATATAAACATTCACCATTCACACATAGACATATATAGAACCATCACAAACTCAACAGTAGCATCATACCCATTTAAACATCGCCAATCACAACATACATACACATAAGCACGATTCACAACAAACACATGTGCATACAAACATCCATCGCCCATTCCGGCTCAGTTATGCACCATCATACTCACCACAAGCTTGCTATTTCGCTATATCCTTTCCCTTCTTCACAACTCTGGCTTGGTCGTTACCTTAAAGATGTTAAATAACCACTTTTAATATAATAACAATTTACCCCTCCATTGTATCCCACTAATTAATTACCAATCATATAATTATAATAAACAGTATCCCACCTTTACCTTTGTTTTCCATTTTATTTCTATTTAGCACCCCACACCTATGTATCACTAACCACACTTAAGTATCCTCATTAAATATATCACTTCCACCCCACACATAGTTCGGCTTCCAGATAACACCACCACCCAAATTTACCTTTCCAATTGAGTAATAATCATGATCATCATCATCATTCATGCATAAAGATATATATATATATATATATATATATATATGGTGGCCACTTCGGTGCACCCACTTTTTTGGGTGTACTGAACGCACCCACTTTTTTGTTTAATCTCAACCGTTAAACACATCTAATGGTTACAATAATTTGATTTATTTATATTTAATTATTAACTAATCAACTATATTATATTTATTAAAATAATTTATACTTAATTGTAATTGCAACTAGGCCCCTGACTTTAACCGTTTCTTCCCCGATTCTTCTCTCCTCTTATGCGAAGCCTCTTGTTCCCTCACCCAACAGAGACCATTTAACCACTTTCCCATACATTTCACTAGGATAGCAAATGAGCATAGATTCTCAAATGAAGACAATGTACCCGAAAAGCTAAAAAAACAGAGACCATTTAATCCCTCACTGCAAAAGAGACAACAGAAAACAAATTACTCCTTCCTTCCTCTGTACTTGTTCTTCCTCCTTCCTCTGCTCCCTGTTCCTGTTCTCTTTCTTCTTCTCGATATCTCCTTCTTATCCTCTAATTCTCTTTCTGATTCTCCAATTCCAATCTCAACTCCGATGCTTGCTTCATCAATTCGCCGGGAAACATGGAATTGGCGGCATGCAAGGAGGAACGGCGACGAAGACTCGGTCGAATCCGACGGGGAAGTTGCCAGAAGGATTAGCCACAGAAATAGCCCATAAACATAATTTGAGAGCTCATCCGAATGTGTTCGGAATTCGGATCGAAAACAGCCCTTCCTTCTTCAACCTCCTTCTGGTTTTGTTCTTTTACCCGCAGCATAGAGGTCCAGCGATGTTTGATTTAATTTGCTACAATCCGTAAAATTGACGCCTCAGTATCGCTCCAGTCTGAATCAAGCACTAAAAAAATCAGTTTCCCCCTTCGATTTCCAGTTATCGAGCTGAAGCCTTCCCCTGCGTCTCCGTCGCGGCAAAAGGAAAACGAAAAACACAGATCATTTGACTACTCAAGACTGGCTCTGTCCCTAATCTATCGGCCATGCTCCCCACTTCCGAAAATCGCTCTGTAGTCCCTATGCAATCAATCGTCGCCGGCGATAGGACCTGTGTTCGCGAAACCCAGAGGCACGGAAACTCAGCAACTCTTCGACCGGAGCAATTGAAGACCTGGACTGGATCGACAGGATGAGCTGGATATAACCGAGAAGAATCACCGAGCGACGCGAGGAGCTGGACCTGACGGAGCTGTTATCTGAAGGGCGAAGACGATGCAAGCGACGACTATTGGCGAAGAAATACTCCTGGTTCGCATCGACGGGAGCAGAGACGAGAGAAGCGGAGCTCGAAGAAAAGATGAGCCATCGCACCACAACTGAGTGCTGAAGCGCCGATTGAAGAAATTGGAGAAGGAAACACGAATTCGTCAAGGAAACGATCGAATCGAAGGAAATCAAAGGCGAATTCGTCGAGAAGTCGAACGAATCGACCAAGAAAGCAGCGGAATCGAAAAAGAAAGTGGCGAGGCAAGAAGAGGAAAGGATCGACAACACTCGAACAATGGAAGAGAAAGTGACGATTTCATGGAACAAATCAAGAACGAAAACTTATTTTCTCTGATTCCATGTTGAGCATGCCGGAATAGCCTGAGACGGTTTAGTGGCGGAGGACGACGATGCCAGGCACTGCAAACTATTCGTCGCCTGCCACTGGGATAGTATTGACGGTGGAAGCGGGGAAAAGAAACGACGAAGAGAAAGGGTTAATGTTAGGGGTTTAATTGCAATTATCAATAACTATAAATTCGTTTAATAAATATAAAATAGTTTATTAGTTAATAATTAATTAAAAATTATTAATTATTGTGAACCGCTAGATATATTGAACGGTGAGGATTAAACAAAAAAGTGGGTGCGTTCAGTGCACCCAAAAAAGTGAGTGCACCGAAGACGCCACCATATATATATATATATATATTCCTATACATTCCCTACCTACTAATCCTTCTAATTCATTTTCATCAATTTCTCACGGTTCTCTCACTAGAACACCATCACCCATATTACATATATATACTATGCACATGCATAGATTATACATGTATAATAAACCCATCGGCTTCCACATGCAGCAAATTAGCAGAAGGATTATGGTATCCCTACCCAATTTGCAGGTAAATTAGTTAAAATCACTTAGCCTCCTAAATTGATTGCCCCAATTATCTCATGTATATCGTCTACCTTTTATCTTTGGAGGAAGATTTAAAAAGATACCTGCTAACACGTTAATGATCCTTTCAGTGATCCCCCAACCTAATCGACTTCCTCCCAGCTTAAGTAATGAGAGATGATAGGTTATATCTTATATGCTGAAAAGGGTGAGGTATAGGAAGAAGTTTGCCCTTTCTTTTCTGCCACCGGTGATTTCAAGGACAAAGGGGATCGTAGATGGATGGAAGAGGAAGATGATAAAGTGGTTCATGTAAACCTTGAATTTACATAAAACCCTAATATCGATATAACAACATGATAATCACATGAAATAGAAAAGTGATTAGAAGAATACCTCCTTCCATGGTGATTGAGAGAGAGCTTATGAAGAAGTAGCAATGTTGAATTTTGGGGTTCTCTCTCCTAGCCTATGAGTCACTTGATATATGTGTTTCTTATGATATGCCATTGTGATGGTCCAAAGCATACAATTTATAGGTGGAGAGAGGAAAAAATTTTCTTTTAAGTTTTATCTTTACACTTCATCTCAACCATCCATCATGGAAGAGTTACAATAGGAACATAACTCTTTGGGGTTATTAATCTTTGATAACTCCTTATTCTTATAACCAATTGAAACAAATGTAACACTCCTATTCCTTTCATAACTCATAATAGATTATATTAAGGACGAGATAACTCTCTTGCACTAAAAGTTATCTTACAGTCTCCCACTTGATCGTTATGAATACCCGTGTTGTTGCTTATAGGAAATCATAAGGCGCGCATAAATTGTTAAGTTTGTTATCTTTAGTTGGTTATCATAAGTGTCTTAATTGATCTAGTTGGTAATGAGAGTCATGGCGGTCATAAGTTAACAACCTTAATTCCTTCTATGTACCACGACATCAACAACTATCACAACCAGACCGTTATTAAGAGTTTTCAAAATGGTCTCATGATGTCTTTGAAAAGATGAATTCTGTATCATACATCCATATCAATATGTGTACACAATGGATAATTGAATAGACAAGATGTATAGTTCCATTTATGAGCTCTATGGCAAAAGAAAATTTCAATTATAGTCAAAATATACAACGAAAATTTACTAGAAACTATCCTCAAGACCCATACTATTAGTATGTTTCTAAAAAGACTTTGGAGGGAGTCCTTTAGTAAATATATCCGCAACCATTTCATCAGTGCCTAAATGCTCAAAGAAAAATTTGCCTTGCCTAACATCTTGTTTCAATGATAGATATTTAAGGTCCATGTGTTTTGATCCCTTAGATATCCTATCATGCTTAGAAAATTGAATGGCAGCCTTATTATCACCAATGCAGTTAAAAGCGCGATTCTACCTAAAAGCGGAAAAGGGGTAAAATCGAAAAGCGGTGAATCAAAGCGTAAAAGCGTAAGTTTTTTATGCATCCTGTATAATAGTTAAAATAATGTTAAGTACAGCATAAACTATGTAAAATATGAGTTCACAGAGTTTAGATAAAAGAAAAAATACCTGCAATTCATGTCTAAATTAGAACAAACTCATAACATCATAACAATAAGTTCATAAACATAAATCGTAACCCACAAACGAGTTAAGAATCCAAATTCTCACAAGTTGGTTTAAGTTTACATAATGACATATGCGTTTAATAATCCAAGTCGTCACAATCAAAGCACACAAATGTTATAAAGGATAGAAGGAAAACTACATCAATTCATCGGCTTCCACATTTGCATCCAAATCATCATCATTATCATCATCATCACCATTGCCATCAACATCAAGTGGACTACTATATTCATGATCCCCCTCATCTCTTCGAGCATCAACACCAATAGCATCACCACCACCTTCAATAGTATGACCACCTTCCTCACCACCAACCTCTAAATCTGTAGATTGTGGTTCTCCTTCTTCATTATCACTAGCACAAATCCATTCATTATCAGAGTCTATATCCTCAAAGTCGATCTCAAGCCTTCTTGCTTTCTTGGCATTCCCGCCCACCAATTTCTTGTTGCACATAACATACACAAGATCATTCATTTTTTGTGCACGAAAATTGTTCTTTTTCTTAGTATGAATCTACAAGTAAAAGAGTTCACATCACCACATATTCACATGTAAAAAGAATTAACGATATGATGAAAAGAAAATAGAGGCAATTTATTACTTACCCTCTCAAATGCACTCCAATTACGCTCGCACCCAGAAGCACTACAAGTCAAACTCAACACAGCGAGCGGTGGAGAAGAAAAACTTGATCATCAGTACCAACAGTATAACCAGGAGGTCTTTCCATATACACGACTTCCTGTAGATCACCGTGAAGAAATGCATTCTTCCCATCCAACTGGTAGAGAGGCTAGTGATGAAGAGAGGCGACATCAAGTAACGTATGAACAATCTGCATACGAGCAACCAGAGCAAATGTCTCGTCATAATCAATACCATACTCCTGACGGAAACCTTGAGCAACGACACGAGCCTTGGGTTGTTCAAGAGTACCATCGGGATGAAACTTTAACGTATAGACCCATCGACTGCCAATGACAGGAACATATTTCGGTGGACAGTCAACAATGGACCACGTTAGATTCGCATGTAAGGCATCAATTTCGGCGGTCATGGCTCTTTCCCATAACGGGTCACTACATGCTTGAGAGTACATGGTCGGGACGCGGATGGCGTCAACCCCATATGTAATATAATCATTCATGTGCACTGGAGTTTGATCAAGGTTGCTACGATTGGATCACCGAAGACCAGCAGCAGGGGGGCTCAGCGCAGGTGGAGAAGTCGAGGTGGATGCAGACAAGTCTGTGTTGTCTTGCGACGAGCCAAGGATGTGCGGGGGAGGAGATTTGGGAGGGAAGTCATTGGTAGAAGGATCATTATCATCAAACCAGTCATCGTCATCAAACGAGGGTAACAAAGGTGAAGGAGACAAAAAGGTAGGAGACTCGGTAGAAGAGGAACGAAACATAATGTGTTCGAAAAACACAACATCATGAGAGATACGAATACATTGAGCAGAAGGATCAAAACACAAGTAACCCTTGTGAACAATGCAGTCAAAAGCGAGTTTCTACGTAGAAACGTTTTGGTGATCTAGAAGCGTAAAATCGTAATTTTTTAAGTTTTAAAACGGAATTTTTAACTACATAAGTTATAAAAACTAAGATTTTGTGTAGAAACATTTTAGTGACCTAGAAACGTAAAATCGTAAGTTCTTAAGTTTTAAAACGCAATTTTGACTACATTGCTTGTGAACATCACTATAATCGAGAAAGAAACAATGAGCAATTTTAGACGACAACTTGGTACGTTCTTTGCTCGAAAGAAGAACAAAGCATAAACAGCCAAAAATACGAAGACGATCATAATCAGAATGACGAGCATAAAGAACATAGAAGGGGCTTTGTTGATCAAGTACCATAGTAACTTGGTAGTTGATCAACCGGACGCTAGTCGCCACCGCTTCGGGCCAAAAGCAGGATGGAACAGACGAGGCTAACAACAAGACATGAGTTAACTCAAGAACATGACGATTTTTCCTCTCGACCAAACCATTTTGTTGGGAGACTTTTGGACAGGACTTCTGACTTAAGATACCACGGGAACGATACAAGGCATGCAATGTATTAGAACTAAACTCACCGCCCGGGTTAGAACGGATCACACGAATATCTTTACCAAATTGGGTTTTGATCATATTCATAAATTCAGTGGCTAATCCAAGTAAGTCAGATTTTAAACGCAAAAAGTAGACCCATGTATAGTGCGTAGCATGAACAATGAACAAGGCAAAGTAGCGATAACCAAGATGGGAAATCACAAGGCTAGGTCCCCACAAATCGGTATGAATAAGGTCAAAAGGATCACGAATAACAGTGGAGCTCAAGAAAAAGACGCGCAGTTTTGGCCTTGACACAACTTGTACAGAAAAGGTGAGAAGGAAAACCAGTCACTTTATTACCAATAAGACGTTGTTTAAACATGGTTACAAGACAACACGAATTAGGATGACCTAACCTAAAATGCCAAAGGTGAAACATAGTATCCGATTGACTCGAGAAAACAACAAACAAAGACGACGACAAAGACTGAAAAACCGATGGTGACTGGTCCAATAGTTCCTCCAAGCAAAAGATCCTCCCACGCTTATTCCCCCTTCCAATTTGCATCCCTGTCTTCATGTCATGCAAAAAACATTCTGATGGTTCCAACACAACCCGACAACCGTGCTCTGTTTGTTTACCAATAGAAACAAGATTCGGCACATACAGCGTAGCAGGCAAGGTAATCTTATCACAATGAGCAGAACCAACACCCTCAATAGACAAATGTTGGCCATTCGCAACTTGAACGGGGAAATTAGGAACAGGCTTATATCACGTAAAAGATCACAAGTATGGAACATTGAAGAGCTTCATTGATCAACCGCTCAACCAATGCAGGAGACAACAAGTGACCAGCACCATTTGTCCCTTGCATAGCATAGCTAGGGCGAGCGGGAGGACCAGACGAGGAAGCCCCCCCCCCCACCTGACGAAGATGTCAAAGCAGCAGTAGCAGCACGTTCTTGGACCTCGCAAAAATCATGAACATGGTCGTCGCGCTTACAATAAACGCAAAAATTGCATTGACGGTAGTGCTTCTGAATGTGGCCCTTGACGTGACAGTGGTGACACTCAAGCTCAGATGTAGGAACCCGACGTTGAAACTGAGGTCGACCGACAACAAACACAGCATCAACAGCACACTAGGCCATAGCAAACACAACGTCGCCAGACCAAGGACGATCATCAAGTTGGGCTTGGGTCCGGAGTCGAGTCTCCTCATGCAGCAGCTTCCCTAAAACACCATCAATCTTCAAGTCCTCCCTATTCAGCATCGTGGCACGAAGAGACTCGAATTCGGGACGAAGATGCATTAGAAAGTGGAGAAGACGAGTCTGCGTGCGCTCGGCCAGAACTTCAGCAGAAGCCGTAGAGGAACATAACATAGCATTGAGTAAATCTTGTTCAGTCAATAAATTCTGAGCGTCATGAAAATAGCTTGAGATATCCTTGTCATCCTGCTGAAGCTGCGCATGCTAAACCTGTAGCTCCAATTGGCGAGCCACGTTTGACTACTTATACGTGGTGGACAAATGAACCCACATCTCACGGGCAGTAAGAAGAAGACGAAGACCAAGGACGATACCCAGATCGACAGAACTGAGAATCCAGTTCTTCACATGAGCGTTGTTCTGAGTCCAGCACTCAAGCTCCTAAACCGTAGCAGGAGGGACAGTCAGACAAGCAGACATACCATCGATGAAACCTAGCAAACCCTTGCCTTCGACAAAAACCAGGAAATGAAACTCCCACAAAGCATAATTCTTCACACTAAGACGAACCGCAAGACGGTCAGAATCGACAGATGTAAGCTCTGATACCATGATAAGAAACATGCAATAACCAAAACAGAACACAGACTTTTACGTGGTATCCCTGAAGTTCAGGACTAGTCCACGGGAGAACCAAGTTCTCCAGCTACTGATCTTATTAATCGTTTTTCTCATGTTCACTCTACATACATATATATATAGGACTCTAAACCCCAACGTGGGATTTCCAAACCTACTTGGCTAGAGAGAGCCAAGTCCTTTTCCTTCTTATTTTTCGTTTACTTGAGGCCTACGCCACCAATTACATGATCGAAGCCCAAACTCAACATATGACATAATCATGGGCTAATTACAAATCCATATACACTAACACTCACACCATACCGTATATCCTACACGAAATATACAAGTATCTTTAGGGTTTTCATTTAATCAACAAGCAAAGGGAAGGGAAGCATGGAAAGGTAAATACATGTTATTGTATAAGAAGGTAAATCTCGAGTAGCATCATGCATACTAAAGCTCAATTATATCATGCATCAATGACTCATTTATAGCATCACTCTGCACCTTCCACTAAAGCCACTCTATGCACGTGCATGCACCTCTTGCTATAGAGATTTAACTAACTAATGAGTGCTTTCGCTTTATGCCATTACCTTATCAATGAAAACAAGGTAGTTATGATAGAACATGATTAATTTTCGACCTCTATGAGCCACAACCGACGATGTAACAATCAAGCATTGATTCTACTTGAGGTGTAGATGGTTGATCATTCCCTCTATACTCATGTAGCATCAATGAAGTATCACTATACGGTTATTTATTAACAACCTAGATGATACTAAGCACAATGCAAATAGTAGCACACTATACGGTAATAAGCATTGATGACAAGAAAGCAAGCATATTGGATAAACAACAATGATCACCATATAGGCATCAAAATCAAACATCCATACATACATAACAAGCATCGAAATTCATATGCATAAACACAAGCATCATATAAAATTATAGCATTATTACACACAAAGATAAACGAGTTCACATTCTCAAACAATCTATTCGAACTAGTTATACATAGAAGACAAGGATGGTACCACAAACGATGATGAAAACATCTCCCTAGCTGCACCCTCTCCTATAATACTAAGCTCTCGAGTGGAGTGTTTACGGGAGTATGGAATAAAATGCATTTATATAAGGGGAAAATGTAAAAATTATTGGAGTGATAAACACTATAAATAAAGTGTCATCAGAAATACCCGCACTTGAAATTCTTGTCCACAAGCAAACACTACTCTTAACCAATGCAGTTAAAATCGCGTTTTAAAACTTAAAAGCTTATAGTTTTACGCTTCTAGGTCACCGAGACGCTTCAGTTTTCATAGAAAATCATTAGTGTATAAAATCATATTAAATTGTGCTTTAAAGTTTAAAAGCTTACGATTTTACGCTTCTAGTTCACCAAAAAGCTTATAATTATTAAAAGCATATTTTAAAGGTGATTTAGCATATTTTAAAGGTAAATCACCAACAATATGATACATTTGAGATTAGAAGATAAATATCAGGTACTTAGATGCATTCTTAGTTTCAATAAAGTAATCTAATTCACCAACTAGGCCCTTCCCAAATTCATTAGCATAGAGGGGAATGTGGCTTGTTGTTAAGATCTATGTTTATGAACTTATTGTTAAAATGCTATGAGTTGCTCTACTTTAGACATGAGTTGCAGGCATTTATTAACTTATCCAAATTTTGTGCACTCATATTTTACATAGTATATGTCGTACTTAACAGATATTTAGTTATTTTACAGTATGTGTCAAAAACTTGCGCTACTATGCTTTGATTCTTACGCTTTACAATTTTACACCTTGTCTGCTTCGAGGTAGAATCGCGCTTTTGACTGCATTGCTCGTAACAACTCAATGAACCTAGGATCCATCACTCAACCATGATCTTATATAATGGATCATAAGCAGCTTACAAGGTCAAAAATAGCACGAGAGAATCCTAACCACATCAAAATGCAAGAATATCATGCCAACTTAATCTAAGCATCAACCACTAACTACGCATTAGAGTCTCAAAATGACAAAGTGAAGCTTTTGATAAACATTTCTACTTTGAAAGTTTTTTACCATTTAATAAACTTTAGAATCATAACCACATCAATATGCAAGAATATCATACCACTTAATCCAAGCATCCCTCTTCTTTCTCTTACCAGAAAGTTGAAAAAATTAAAATTTCTCCATTCTTTTAAAATAATAAAAGTATCAAATAAACTATATTTATATTTAATCAATAAATTTTTTGAAAATTTAAATTAACAAAAAAATTAATATATGTATTACTATATTAATATTATACATTGTCTCAATTGTTAATTTTTAATTATTTATTATCAATATTTGCATTATGCTGATTTTATATTTTTTTATTCACTTTTTTCTAATTTTATCAAAACCATTCATGTTTAAGTGAACTTCATGTTTAATTTTTCTAATAAAAAAACTAATTTCAAGTGAATTCAGATTTTGAAGAATGAAAAAATTGCTTTACTTAGGTTTAGAAAGAAAACTTTATTTTTTTGTAACAGAAAAACTTTATTTTAAGACTTTATATTATACAATATATTAATTATTCAAGTCAATCGGGCAGGTTTGGGTTAGTCAGGTACAAGACAATTGGATTACGAGTTTAATCGCATTGTGCGTCAGTTGGTTCATGTTAATAAGATTACGAGTTAGTTGGATTGCGGGTTAATAGGTTGCTTGTAAATCACGTTACGAGCGGAGTGGGTTGTGGGTTGTTGACTTTTAATCAATTTGGGTTGCGGTCGGGTTGATCGAGCGGGTTACTCGGATGGGGTTCTGTTTTTACACCTCTAGTGCTTAGGCCTCTAACAACTCCAAGGGCTCTGAAAGAGGTATTGTTGGCTAGTATGATCTCGATGTTGACGTACTCCATGTTAGCTAGTCCTATCTCTTCAAATAGATGGTTAGAGAACATTTGATGATGGGATTCTCTAGATCCTCCTTTGTTTCATCGACTAGGATGAATTCTCTGTAACCCAAAGGAGTTTTCTTCTAATGAGGTCATCAAAGCCAAGCACACTCAAGTTGAAGGACCAATGACTCGAGCTAGGGCTAAGGCTTTTCGAGATCAAATTGCAAGTTATTTAACTAAGGGGTTGGAGAGCTTAAGCTTGGATTTGCTAGAAGGAAAGTTCATCAAATAATTGAGCTATGAGGATCACGAAATTGGGCTAAAAGGGAGGGAAGGAGGGTCGGCCATTGAGAAGGAGTCTCAAGGTGTCAATGGAATCATCAATG